AGGATCGTGCCGAGCTACGAGGTCGACTATCGGCCCGCATAGGCAAAGTTCGGGGAGACACGAAGGACACGGACTGCGCAGTGCCGAGCTTTGACGGCGCCGGCGCATAACGTAAACATCACATCGAGTAAGGTGAATCATACTTTCTATTCACTAGCGTTGTGTTCGTGTTGACTTGTCGGTGACTTTTAAATAATCCTAAAGTAGATTGTAATTGCTATAAATATACTTATAAAGCAATCACTATGAGTTACGGATCACCTAAGAAAAATTCTTCACCGCCATTGCGCAGGTCCGAACCAAATTTGGCATGTAGTAATGACATTAATGACAACATATCACAGCGTAAACGAAAACGAGGTAACGAGGCTGACCTTCAGCGCATGGAGAACATGATGTTAGATATGAAGTCCATGTTTTCGGAGCTAGTATCACAGCAAGAACAACATAACATTAAAATAGATGCACTACACTCCGCTCTGGAGGGTATTCGCTCACAAAATTGTTTGATCAGTGCTCAGAACGCGGAAATTCAAACGCAAAATAATGATATTCGAAACTCGGTACAATTCTTATCGGATAAATACGAGGACGCCATAACTGAGTTAAACAGCCTAAAATCTGATTATAATAATAGTCGAAAAATGATAAAATCCTTAGAACTCAAGGTAGACTTTCTAGAAAGGAACTTGAAATCAGCGTCTATTGAAATATCTAACATGCCAACTTCAAAGTCTGAAACACGTCAAACCCTTACAAGCGCAGTTAAAAAAATCGGTGACTTTGTCGACCAAAGGTTGGAAGAAAGTAATATTAAAACAATTTTTCGCTCAAAGGCTAAAAAAGATAGCGTAGGCATTGTCCATGTAGAATTCTCATCTGCAACTATCAGAGACTTATTCTTAGTGGCAATAAAGAATTACAACCGGCTCAACAAACCAAATCGCTTAAACACGACTATCTTGCAAAGTAAGGGCCCCGAGAAACCTATCTACGTCTCCGAAGCACTAACCACCATGACAAAACGGCTTCACTACCTTGGCAGAGAGTTTATCAAAACCAGTACATACGAGCAATGTTGGATCGCAAATGGAAAGGTGTACGTACGAGAGAAAGACGGAAAGCCTAGTCTGCTTATCAAAACCGAAGACGACATTTTGAAACTACGTAAAGAAAAGTGACTAGGCTATAAATTGTTGAACTTTTCATGCATGCGTTTTGCTTTTGTTATTTATTTATTACCTTATTATAAATCTTTACTAAGTGCCTATTCAAACAACATAAATACCCCAATGACACTCCACTTTTGTAACATTATTAAAGTACTCCATTTACCAACAACAACAACAACACATACATTTATCAAACATAAACAACATATTCAATATTTCCAAACTACAATATACAGATTGTACTCGGTTTACATACTGCAAGCAGACTTAATAAACTCTTCCTGTATACATCCTGTTATTATTGTACAAAACAGGATAAAATGTGACTGTGAAAAGGTAAAACTGAAATTCAAACCGCCCAAAATTCGATAACACACAACAAAATACACTAAATATTGATAAGATCTCTGTGGCTGACTCGTCGACGTGTGAGCTTGAGAATTGCATTCCACCTAACTTTGTGCCCGGTCACTCATTTAAAATTCTAAATCAGAACATTAGAAGCATAACTAAAAACATTACGGGCTTACACACCATTCTAAACAGAACTAAAGTCTCGTGGGACATTATTACACTGACGGAATGTTGGCTCCCCAGCGCGCACTATATTCCTAACCTGGCAGGTTACAGGTACTTCAAAACTGAAAGAAATCTAACTCAAAACGAAGGTGTACTGGTTTATGTACTTGAAGACTTTAAGGTATCTGTGGATGAACTTGAAATAAAAGACGCAAACTGTCTCCAAATAAAAATTGACGATAACACCATCATACTATCAATATACCGCCCACCTGGATATAGAGATATTAACAACTTTCTTTTGTCCCTGGACGCCGTCCTTAGCAACATATCCAGTTACAGACATATTATTGTTACAGGTGACCTAAATATAAATATCCATCAACATTGTAACGATACAAATAAAAACAACTACCTTAACCTACTTGCATCCCACGGCATCCTTCCTGCCCACACACTGCCTACACGACTGCGAGCCTGTCTGGACCATGTCGGATTAAAAACTGATCTCCCTGCCTGTACGCTAGTTGCCTCTTCTTCAGTTACGGACCATGACACAGTCCTCTTATATCTCGCTAAAAAGATACCCAAACCACGAAAGAAAACTATCATTCGTATCAATCACAAACAGTTAGATGCAGATATAGAAAGTATTGATTTTGAGCCAATATATCAAACCCAAAACCCTAACCTAGCTACAGACTTAATGATTAGTGCAATTACACAGGCCATTGAGTTAAATTCAAAAGTAACCAAAGTTCCAAACCGTAAAAAAATGGTGAAAGACTGGATGACCCCGGGCTTTTTACGCTGTATACGGCATCGAGATCGTTTAAATCTAAAATCAAAAAATGAACCAAATAATTTAATCCTCAAAACAACTTACACATGGTACAGGAATTACTGTAACAAATTAATTAAACAAGCCAAGATTATCTATGATAAAGCTTGCATTACTAATGCAGGCAATGACACCAAGCAATTGTGGACAGCCATCAACACAATCACAAATAGACTCAAATCAAGAGACTCCAGAGAAGAACTGCTCACTATATCTCCTACACCAGCACAATCTGTTAACCAAATAAATGATTTCTTTGCCGACATTGGAAAAAATCTTGCTGAAAATATCGGTAACTTAACAACTAGGCAACCTTCAGCTATCACTGTCAATGCCTCACACTCTATGTGTCTTCTTCCGACGGATGAGGTGGAGGTTGCAGAAATAATCATTGCCCTTCGTAGTGAATGTGCTGCAGGATGGGATAGAATACCTAGCACCCTATTAAAAAAACACATTGCCTTGCTTGTTCCACCACTAACTTATATCTGCAATCTTTCGCTACATACTGGACAATTCCCCAAGGCTTTGAAAAAATCTATCATCCACCCTATCTTTAAGAATGGGGACAGAAGCAGTGTCAGCAACTATAGACCTATAGCGGTATTGCCAACCCTATCTAAGGTACTAGAACGGATTATGAGCCGCAGACTCGTCGACTACCTGACCAAGAACAATATCATCTCACCGTCTCAATATGGCTTCAGATCTGGCAGGTCAACGTCCGATGCGGTTCATGACCTCTCAAATTATATTGTAACCAACCTAGATAGAGGCCAAAAGGTCATAGGAATCTTCCTAGATCTCGCCAAAGCCTTTGACACGGTTTCTGTCCCCATACTCATAGAGAAAATGGAACGCCTTGGAATAAGAGGTACTCCACTTAGGCTGTTCGAGGACTACCTTAGTGAGCGAACCCAGTGCGTTAGGGTGGATGAGTTCATCAGTGAGGAGCGGATAGTCACATACGGAGTGGCTCAAGGTAGCGTGATTGGCCCGACACTCTTCCTAATCTACATAAACGACCTGGGTCTGCTCACTTTACCAAATGGTAAAGTAATTACTTTCGCAGATGACACTGCCCTCCTATTCAATGCTGACACATGGAGTGACGCCTATAAACAAGCGCAATCTGGGTTTAATGTCGTAAGCGATTGGTTGCGAAATAATATACTTACCCTAAATGCGACTAAAACACAATATGTCACTTTTTCAATAACACATAAGACCGCACCGAACTTACCAATGCCACACTCGATCATAGCCCACTCGTGTCCTAGTCCTCACAATGTTACGTGCTCTTGCGTACACCTTCAGAAAGCCTGTAGCCGCTTTTCCTCTCTGGCGGACTACTCACCGGCTGACCCAGTGGAGAGATTCAAGAGATTACCTCAGGGCGCCTTGTATGAGAATAGAAGTGTGTGCGTGTGGGAAACCTATGGGACTCTTTAGAGGAAAACAACTTACACCTCAGTTATGCATACATGTATATTTCAAAGAACAAGTAGATCAAATTAAACTAATTAAACAGTGTGGGTACAAGAAAAAGAAAAAAAAACCGCAGCGGTGCGCGTTAGAGCCGAGCTGATGGTGCTCGGTGCCTCCTCGTCGTCCCTCCAGGAGGTTACTTCCTCTTCCGCCCGAGTCGGCTATTTATATTAGATATGGATAAAAGTTTAACAATCTGCAATTATAAGTTTAAGTACGTAACTCTTGGGTACGGCTGTCCGCTTGCGTCGTGAGCCGCGCAATCACCAGCTTTGCCAGAGGGTACCGAGAAACTTGAGTCTGTACCAGAAGGCCACAAAAGAGCAAGCACGCCGTCTAAGACTGACCGTCTTGACCCCGAAATCTGGGACCCTACGAATGGATTAGCACTCATATAATTAAACAGGTTCCAGAAACAAATAGGTTTAAGTAGAATTAAGAACATACTCACCACTTTAGTGTGGGTACTTTAAACAGACTACATATTACGAAATTCAAATTACACGACAATCAAAACACTATTTAAGGTTGGAAGACACGAGATAGCAGAGTGTCTCCCGTGGCAGAAAGCCGGACTTATATATCCTAGGTTCAGGAATCTTCCAGAAGTTAACCCCTCCTCATCATTTCACTTTGACATTTACATTGAGAAAGAAAACAACGCTAACAAAATCAAAAGTAACTTGCTTTCCACCATAGCTGAACACTCCCAATACCTATGCAATTTGTCATGACAGATTACCAGAACAGATTAAAAAGTAAGTCTTTTTAATTAAACTATCATGTCTCAAACAAACGCCATCTAGTGGTCCGAAAGTGAACAAAGGAGATCAATACCGTAGCTACAAACTACTTTAGATAAATCAACAACAAAGCGATGCGGCCAAACAGGTGCCGCTTTTATCAATATCGTACGTATCACAAATGCACAAAAAAAAAAACTGTTACAAGCCGATGCGGTGAAATATCTTGGAGTAATAATGGACAGTCGCCTTCGTTTCCATGAGCATATATCTACCCTCAGTGGCAGGATGCGCAAACTAATCTACGTCTTCAAGAACCTAAGGCAAGTGGCTGATGATAAGTTGAGGCGATCCGTTTATTTTGCCCTTGCTCAATCGCTTCTGACGTACTGCATCACAACCTGGGGTGGTGCTCCAAGGAGCACTCTTCTAGAGCTAGAAAGAGCCCAAAGGGCAGTACTAAAAGTTTCTTTGACCCTACCGTTCAGATATCCTACTTCTCTCTTATACAAGAAAGCTAAAGTTCTAACGGTAAGACAGTTGTTTATTAAGCAGATAATCCTAATGCAGCACAGTAAACTGAAATATGATTCTTCTCTTTCCCGTGGCAAAAGGCGATACAATCCTGTACATATAAGTAAAGTCCGGCTTAACACCGTGTATTCAAAACGCTACTTTTGTTACTTGGGACCATACCTATACAACAAAATTAATAAAATCTTGTCAATTTACGAAATGCAAAAAATAAAATGTAAGATGAAATTAACTGCTTGGCTCTCAGATCTAACTTACGACGACACTGAAAAGATGCTTGCTGTCTTACACACACACACACACACACACACATACACACACACACACACACACACACACACACACACACACACACACACACACACACACACACCTACACACACAATAATAATAGTTCGACCACAACTAATTGTCAAAGCGCTGATACTAACAGATATGTATACAATTAAGGAGGGGACCCTGGTGTCCTGAAATACAGGCTCTGAGCCTAGCTTAGGCACCAGTCTCCCACAGTATAATATTTTGTAATAATTCTTATACAGGCTAAAATTATGTATAAATGTATTGTGGCGAGAAAATAAACAATTTATTATTTATTATTATTTGTACTAGGTTGGGGACAGAGACAGTGTCAAAGGCTTTTGCAAGGGCAAGAAATATGGTTAAGCATTTACTCTTGTTGTCTAATTGACCAACAAGAAAGTTATCGAGGTCAAAAACTGCGTTTTCAGCCGAGCGGTCAATTCTAAAGCCATATTGATGAGATGATAGTAGATTGTTATGCTCTAAGTATTAAGTTAGTCTATTATTAATAATACGTTCAAATAATTTTGACAACGCTGTTAATATTGCAATTGGCCTGTAGTTACTGAAACTGCATCTGTCACCCGCCTTATGTATTGGATGTACCACAGCTCTTTTGAATGCGTCAGGAAACACTCCTTCTTCAAAAAAAAACGGTTCAACAGATGGGTGAGAACAGGTGTTGTAGATTCTGATTTTACTTTTAAAATCTCTGCACTGATCTGATCCCACCCAGGAGCGCAATCACTTCTTAATAGCTTAATGTTTTTTTCAACTTCTTCGTTGTTCGTAGTATTATTTACATAGACTCCCAACGTCACATGGCGACCCTGCCATAAAAGGCGCGTGCGCGCGTCCTGTGTGGTCCGTTAAGATACAGAGTACTCGAATTTCTATTTGTCGCGATGGCAGAACATTTTGTGCGGTATATAAGACCGGTATCTTACATCGTTTACGAAATTTCGGCCAATATACAAGGTCAAAATGGGTGGTAGCCAGTCTAAAGACGAGGTCATCCTTGCGCAGAACGCTGCTGGAGCGGCCACAAACAATATTGGGTACCATCTAAGCATCACAAATATTTTGCTAATTTTGATGACAACGTTGCTGTGCTGTGCTGCACTTTTTGGCATTTACAAGATCTATCGCAAATGTCATTTAGACTGGATGAGGCAAGAAATAGACCATAGGTCGTTGCAAAGACAGCTGTCCTTATTCCGGCGAGAGGCTCGCAGGGGTTTTAAAGAAGAAACCGCATAATGCTGGGCATTGTAAGGCAGTACGAAATACGTCTATTAATATAAATGTGCGGTAAGAAAAAGTGCATAAAAATAAAAAAGTAATAATAATAAAAAAAAAAAAAAAAAAAAGAAAAGTGCGGTGCAAAGTGGAAGTGCCTTAAAAAAAAAAAAAAAAATTGTGTTAGTGTTAGTAATGTGCGGAAAGTGACAATAGTTATCTAAATCGGGTAAAATCAGACACAGGACACGTTTTAATCTTAATTTACTTTTTTTTTTTTTAGAGCATAATATATGCTACCTAAGTACCCAAGTAAAAAAAAAATGTGTAATCTTTTTATAATTTAATACTAATTTCTTCGATATTCTTCTATTGTTATGCATATGATTACTATGTTATGGCCGATTTATTAAAAGAGTTGCTTGATGAATTATTAAATATAAAAACATACTTGGTGAAAATCGGACCATCTCGTAGAAAAGGTGAAGTACTCGTAAAAAAGCTTGGTGAGGCCAATTTAATAAATACTAAGTATAGTGAAAGCCTCAAAAATATTAATGAATCTATTAATTTAGGCAGACTTTCAAAAGACGAGCGTCTCTTAATAAATGAATATTGTTTAAAGTTTAAAAACATATATTCTAAAATAATAGAACTTTGTAGTGAGTGCCCTATTATCAAAACTGTAACCATGGAATTTAACTTGAAGATTGCGTTAAGCCTATTGCCTGTTATGGATGGTAAAATGACTACTACTGAGAAATTGATCGATGGCATCGAGTATTATAGCACTACTCTTACAAATGAATCACGAATTGATCTTATTAACTTTGTATTAAAAAATCGGTTAAATCACTCAGCAAAATTATGTTTGTGTCGCACCTATCCCACAATAGATGAATTATTACAAGATATGCGAAATTATTTATTACCTAAAAAATCCGCTTCCGCCATGCAAACAAAGTTACAATCTTTTAGACAAAACGATTTGTCTATCAACGATTATGGCCAAAAAATGACCGAATTATTCGTTGATCTTACAATTACGCAGCTAATGGAAATGACAATAACTATAGTGTTCTGCAATTTTGGCAATCAAAGGATGCATTCCCAACATTTGAATGTTTTGACAAAAAGTCAACCCCAATCCCAAACAGTAGATAACGTGGTAAACGAAAACAAGTTTTTTCGTACCTAAAGATTTTCTTTTTACTTGTGATCATAATTCACTTTCAATTAAATTCAACATTAGCGATGCATGTACTCTGGATTGGTTACTTGATACGGGCGCATCAATTTCAGCCATAGAACATAAACATATTCATGCACACAACATTCCTTTCCATATAGAGAAGACTGTTATTAGAGGTGTTGGCGGTACTATAGAAGCTATTGGACACGTTTGTTTAGATTTACAAGCGAAAGGCAATACATTTAGTCACAAGTTCTATGTATTCCATACCTTACCTTGTAAGGCAAGTGGTATTATTGGTAGTGACTTTTTAAATAACTACTCTGCTATATTGAATTACGAGACGAGTTCGTTATCATTATTAAACATAAATAATGAAAGAATATATCTTTCGACTTTGCGACATAATTATGATGATTGTTTATTCATTCCGTCGAGATCAGAATCTATTCATTTTATCAATACTAATTTTAAAGGAGACGGTGTAGTTTATTCAAAAGAGTTGCGTGATGGAGTTTTTTTAGCGAATTCAATAGTGACGCCGCGTGATGGGAAAATCCCTGTTAAGATATTAAATAGTACGGAAAAAGACTTAACTTTAAAAGATATTGTACCGATTATACATAGCGTGGAAAATTTCAATATATGTGCGTTTGAAAAATGTGAGAGAAATTCTGAAAGAGTGGAAAGATTATTTTCCATGCTACATTTAAATCATCTGAATGACGAAGAAAGAGTGTCGATTGAAAGTCTGTGTGCAAAATTTCCTGATATATTTTACCTACCCGGGGATAAATTATCGGTAACGAATATATACGAGCAACAAATTCATTTAAAACCAAATACGGATCCTGTTTATGTTAAACCGTATAGGTTACTGTTCAGGCGCCTAATGGTGACTGCACCGCAATATATCTAGCAATTAAACGTTGCCTGTCATCTGTGTCACCAATATAGTCGGTAGCTTTAAGTTGAGTTTTAAATGTTCACTGGCACTACGACTCTGGAGCTTTTTACAAGGCAGTACACGCTCAATCCATATATTTGCTGTTTTATTTCCGGAATCCGTGCTAATTCTTTACATGGTCCTTACCGAAGCCGGATTTATCAACAGTTATTAAGGATTAGCAGTTATTCCCGGAAATCAGGATATATTGAAGCTTTTTGGAAATTTTCAAGAAACGAGAAATATTAACGGCCACTGGATTGGGTATATTTAACAACGGTGTTAAGTTTATTTCTTCTGATATCGTCACCCAACACTCAATCAGGTATTATTTAATCTAAATTAAGGATATTAAAAGGTTAGTGTATAAGTTTTATACTTACTTTTTCATTAGGTACCAACTACGTAGTAAAAAAAAAGTCAGATTGATTTTGTGTGTTTCATTTATTAAAAGGAACTTACAGTATTTATACCTTTAATAGTATAGTAGACAGTTAGGGCTACATATTTTATTGTAATTTGCCATTATTTCATCTAAATTAATTTATATTGTATTTTTGTATAAAACAATTATTAAGCAATACTTACAGTATTTATGCTTAAAATAGCATAGTAGACAGTTAGTGCTACATATTTTATTGTAATTTGCTCTAATTTTATCTAAAATAACTACTGAGATCCAAATTTTATTAATTATACATATAGACGTAGGTAGGCAAATACTTGGTACAATATTGAGTGTTAGATATTTGTAAAACTTGTTAATTCAACTGTGTTAGTGTACAATTAGGCAATTGCTTTGTAATTAAATATAGTTAAGTTTATTCTTATATAAATTCCAGATCGACGACACTCGCTTCCCAGTATGTGCGATGAACAGGAATTAGTGAAAAAGCGAGGGAGTTTTAAGGGTCGCTTAACCATTTTTATTAAACATCTTGATGGATTAAGCGGCAAAAAATTAAGCAGTTGTGACATCACAGAGTTACAGCTACGCTCAGGGAAGATCGAGTCGTTGTACGAACAATACGATGAGGTACAGTTAAGTCTGGAATGTATTACTGATGATGTTACTATTCAGTTAACCGAGCGGTCGGAATTTGAATCCATATACTACAATGCCCTGTCTAGGTCACAGGAAATATTAAATAAATATAACAAAGATCATGATTCGTCAAACAGTGAAAAGGGTACCCGCGTTAGTGTTTGTAAGCCGGTTAAGTTACCCACTATTCAACTGCCTAAATTTGGTGGGTCTTATAGCAATTGGTTGGAGTTCCGAGACACTTTTACTAGCCTCATTCATTCTAATGATGAGATAGATGAAATTAATAAGTTTCACTACTTGAGAGCGTCTCTGGAGGGAACTGCTGCTGTCGTCATACATTCAATTGAGTTCTCTGCTAGAAACTACTCAGTGGCGTGGCAGTTACTGTGTGAGCGATTCGATAATAAGAAATTATTGATACAAAACCATATAACAGCATTATTTAATATAGAAGTGATCACTAGGGAATCTTCTTTTGCTTTAAAGCGGTTAATAGATGAATTAAATAAAAACCTACGGGCCTTAGAATCATTAGGTGAGCCTATTAAGTACTGGGATACGTTATTGATTTACATTATGACTCGTAAGTTAGATCAAAAAACTTATCGTGAGTTTGAAGAGTACAAAGGCCGGTTAGATAAAGACAGCACAATAACATTAGCGGTATTTCTTCAGTTCATACACACACGAGCTGATTTACTCGAAACATTGGAGCTGTCACGTCATAATATGTTACATACGGTTCACACACAATCACATAATAAAAATTCTACAATTCAAACAATGTTTACAACACAAAGTACTTATAATAAAAATGTAGGTAAAACCGAATCATCTTGCAGACCGTGTCCTAAATGTAAGGATAATCATAAGTTGAATGATTGTCCAGAGTTTCTTGCATTAACCATTGACGCTAGGCTTAAATTATTATCTAGTGT